TTCATATGAACATTTTTACAAATATCACATTGTATATAACCTTGATCTAGTTTTTCGTCAAATATATTCATCAACAGAGTTAGAATAAATATTAATTTAATTGCTCTTTTAAAAATAATAATACATCTTACAAAACTATTTTGTAGGTCAAAATACCCTAGAATAGAGAGGAACTTAAAGATCCTTGGGTAAAAAAAGGGTCAACCACCGATATCTCAAAAACCAGCAAAGTTACAAATTAGTAGAGAAAAACAAGTATAACCAGCCATCACCTTGATTCTCACGACGTTGCTATCGGGAGAAAAATGGCAATATAATTTAGAAGTATACGTTATTTAATTGTTTTATAAGATGTATTGTTAATTTTAAGTTACGTTCAAAATGTGAGGTAAAAAGGATCAACTAAACCAAAGATGTAAAAAATTAAAAATAGCAAAAAAAAGTATAATAGTTAAAAAAATCAATTTTACAATAGATAAGTTAAATAAATAGTTATTCCAATTCTGCAGATGAATATTTCTGACAAAATACCAGATCAAGGATATTTAGAGTGTTATTTCTTTAAAAAAATCACCTATAAAACTTATATTTTACGTTGGTTGAATGCAATGTAGCTATTATTTTGTAAAATTCCTTTAAACTTAAAATAAGACATTAGACCTGTTTGCCACCTCGCCGTCTCAATTTACTCCGTCTATGGGCTAAAAAGAACCAAGTTACAAATTTTGAAAACAGCAAAAAATACATTTCTACAGTGATGAATTAGCTGTGAGTTTCCCTGAACGTAGTCAGATAGTTACTTGTTCGATATGTGTTATTTATTGTGATATATTTAGTTTTGGTTTTCACAATATAATTGATTTGTGCTTCGCCCTACCCAGTACTTAAAAATTATATTCCAGCATCATAAACTTAAGTAAAAGACATCAAACCCAAAAAACAACCAACAAATAAAATTACTTTTTTATGGCGACGTCGAAAGAAATGAGATGATGGCTGGTTATATATTTTTTGCCTACTACTTTAAAATAGTATTGTTAAAAAAATCTATATTTTACTTGTTTTTGAGATAATAGTGGTAGACCTTCTCACCAGCAAACCTATAACGCCTTCTCTACCTTATGAACATAATAAGATAACAGCAAAGTTATTTCTTAGCAAAAGAATAAATAAACTAGTTGGTATTGGTATTTAGCCTTGAAGCAAGTTACATGAACTTCCCAATATGTGTAAATAATCGACTTAATCAATAAAAAATAAATTAATTTATGAGTGGTTAAAAGTATTTCGAGTAGATTTATTACACATCATTGAAAACGAACGAACACGTAAATTCGGAGTCTTTTCTAAAAGCAATTTTTCACAAATCAATAATTTTTATAATTGAACCAGTTTTCGTAGGACGTTAATGGTTTAGTATGTTCATTAAGACCAAGTATTCTATCGTTATACCAAGTAAATCATCTAACTTTAATTTTAACAAACAACAACAAAACTACTCATTTTCTCAAACTTTGATGATTTTTTTAAATTAAACTACTTGTCGTAAGGCCGTAATATTTCAGTAAGTTCTATAAGACCATGATATACATCGCCAAAGTTTCATAAAAATCGGCTTAAATTTTTTTTTCAACAGTTAATTACAAGAAAACGTCTCGGTAGATTTTCACCTAAAACTAATCAGTTTTAGTCCCAATTAATATCTTTCAAACAGTTTTTGATTTTTTAAAATCGATTCGGTAGAATGAGTTTAAATGTGGACGAAAAGTTTAACACTCTTTTGCAAATTACAAAGAAACGGCTCGGCAGATCGTCTCACAAAACTGACAAACTATAGTGCTAATTGAGATACATCGAATGGCTTTTAAATTTCTGAAATCGGTTCAGGCATTTTTGACCAAACGTCGATGAAAGATCTGATTTTGACAAATGCCAAAAAAACGATACCAATTTTTGCAAACTTTGACGAATTTTTAAAGCTAAACGAGTTGTCGTAGGGCGGTAATGTTTTAGTATGATCTAGAAGACTTTGATATCTACCGCAAATAAAAATCATAAAAATTGTCGATTTTTTTTTTTAAACTTTATTACAAGAAAACGGCCCGGCCGATCTTTACCAAAAACTAATCAGCACCATTCCCAACCAATATCTTTCGAACGGTTTTTGAATTTTCAGAATCGATTCAGAATTGCGGGCTAAAACGTAGACGAAAAATTTTTCACTTTTCAAAATTGTTAAACGCTAGTCCTCATCGAGATACATCGAATGGCTTTTAAATTTTTAAAATCGGTCCAACCGTTTTTGAGAAAACGTCGATTTACGGTAAAAAATCTGTTCACATACACGCACACACACACATATTTTTTCCAAATTTAGTCTCATTCATTTGGATTCAGAATGGCTTGAAACGTCGAGAAAACATAAAATTAGCGATTCGGATTTTTTTATGAAAACATAAACTTCTCCTTCGGGAAGTTAAATAATATTATGTTGTGGAAAACAGTTGCACACGACTTCAATGTATATGAGAATTAGTAATATTTCATAATTATTGGCCATTCTAATGTAGTTCTGTAAAGTTATCGTAACAAGTTTGTGATCACCCCTGCCTCTAACCATCGCCGATAAGCACGCTCGTCGTCGGTCCCAGTGGCCCATGTTCATTTGATTAAGCCGATCATGATATCATAAGCTACCGCCAGGTTAAGCTTCTCCGCAAACGCGCTCGATTAACCTCGTATGAATTCCCTAACAGGCTACAGATTTGCACAGACATACAACAACGAGACGACAACGAGACAAAGCTCTGGCGATGATGAATATTTAAAATCTCTCTGGAAGAGATATGCCGAGATTTTGCCTGAGATTTTATTCATTTACACCTGTCATATTACGAGCACTAATCTACTTCGACTTCCCATCTCTTTGCTGGCGATAATTATAGATGTATTAAACAGCAATACTATTTAAAAATAAGAGAGCTATTCTAAAGGTTATGAATTATACAATGCAACAATATCATGATTTTGAAAAATAACTTTTAAATATATAAAGAGTACAAATTTTTTTGACAACAGTCAAATTATGAAACTAGTGGGGTGTATGGCATCGTGCCTTAAGGCAAATTGCTGGAACTTCCCGTACCGTAACGAAATGTTCGAGGAATACTGAATGTTTTCAAATAGATTATTATTAATATTGTAACATTGCCTAATATTTATAAGAATTATATATATAAGAACTGAATTGCAAAGTTGAAATTATTTGTTTAAAGTATATTAGAACTATAGTCAGAATTAAAAATAAAATCTGAATTATTTTCGATACACAAAAAATTTTTATTTTGGAAAAAAAAGTTGAAACATTTTTTTTTCCAAAATCAATTATTTTGTTAAGACAAGCAGAAAGTTCTTTGAATCATTTAAATCGGACGCTTAGTTCTCTCAAAAACTGTCATTTTTTACACATTTAGCTCCGTATCGTCGAAATGGCTGTGCCTGCCTTTGCCAAAAACTAATGAACACTTCTCCCAATCATTACTAATTGATTCAAAGATAATGCAAATCGGATGCTCCGTTCTCTCAAAAATTCGATTTCTATTTTCTGCACACTTTGCTCTTTATCTCCGTAACGGCTGGACCTGCCTTTGCCAAAAACTAATTAGCTCATCTCCCTATCAATAGGAATCGAATGTTTTTTGAACCATTCAAATCGGTTGATCCTTGCGCCCGAAAACGTGACTGGAAATTTGTATTCATACATACATACACACACACACATCCATTTTTTCTGAGGTATGCCAAAATGTTCAGAAACCTTCAAAACGTCGAGAAATGTAAAAATTTTCAATTTCGATTTTCGGCCCATTACAATAACTTACCCCCTACGGGAAGTTAATAAAGGTACATAATCAAGGAAATATAGAGGAAGGGTTTTTATACCTCAATAAAATTACTTTAAACTTATTGTTAGCTTTTTTAAAATGGTTTATCGTACAATTTTATAAAAGGCAGTTCAAATAATGTTGAAATATTTGAATAAAAATCACTAAATTATCTTATATTTTCTATTAAAGGGTAGAATTGTATTCGTAAAATCACACATGTTGTCTTCGTCGCATAAGATATATTGGTAACGTCACGTGTATTTCTTTATTTATCATTTCATCCAATATAGTCGTATGCAAAATTTATGATTTTATATATATAATTTATTTAATCGGTATATTTAAAACTTCCTAAACCGCAAAAAAAATATTTTAAAAAAGCATCAAAACAAGGTTTGACCACCGACTAAATTATATTTGTATATTTTTTACATTCTGCAATCTTATAGCCTTTCAAGTTTGTTATATTAATTGGCATATTAAAAAATCAATAGAATATTTCATTAGAAGTTTCAAATTGAATAGAGTATAATTTTTGTAACTGTACGAGTATACATTAATATAAAATTACAAATACATTGCAACAAGAAATCTAAAATTTCATTAAATCTAACAAAAAAAACTTTATATTTTAGGAAAAAGGTATTCTCACAAAAGCCCCAAAGATAAAAAAATATCTTGAGCGACTTTCATGTAAATTAGTTAGTACAAAATTGATATAGTTAAATAATAGCTTGTGGTATAATTTCAATAAATTTCGCTTTGACAATTTTAAAGCAAATATTTTATGGAAATGTTTCCATATAACAAAATTAAATTTCTATGCTATAATCTATAGAGTGATATTAGAAAATATCGATGTATATATTTTCGTATAAAGATTTGATCAATACAAATGTATGTTTTTACCTATGTCAAAATCACAAAACGATGAAACCTTAAATAAATCCCCTTTCTGAATAATAATTTACTTAAAACCATGCAGTAAATTGATGATGATTAAAGTAATGCTTTTACGCGCAAGCTTTCGAACTCATTCTGTGATAAATTAGCAAGTCATATCGGTAACATTTATAATAATTTTAGTATATTAAATCTTTTATACGAACTCACCTTGTGCATTGTTCCATTGTTCCCTCGAATGATTTGTACTCCTAATGTACGGGGCGTATAAGTCAGATACTGAAATAAATATTTTAATCTAATCATTAGTCTAATAAATTAATTTCGTATTCAAATTGGCTAATTTTTGTTTATATATATATATATATATATATATACAGGGCCGGTCCTGGGGTCCTCAGCGCCCGCATGCAGGATTTGTTTTAGCGCCCCCCCCCCCCAAATAATTTTAACTGTTTTAACATTCATTATTAAAATTATATGAATATTTACGTAAATTCTTTAAAGTGATTTTTAACACTTTCCACTCGCGAATTTTCGGCATCCGAGTCAAAGGGGTTAATCATTCTGGATTTAGTACACAAAAAATAAATATAATCTAAAAGCTTATAAAATACATTGATTCTAATTTTATTTAGAAAATCGAAGCGGTTTACGGGTTGACCATAATCAAATATTTTACATTTTCAAGTATTTTTAACATATGTGTAATATTAATATTTGGATTTTGAAACATTTTCCTTATTTCATTTTTAAACAGAACACTGTTTTTTCATGTTGGATTTTATAAATTTTGTCTTAATTTTTTTTTTCATTATTTGCAATATCCAAAATTGCATCGTAAACTTCTCCTTATTGATATCGTAAGGACCGAATTGTATTAATATTTACTTTCCCATCTGATTCAGAATATCAGATTGTTGTTTTAAAGTTAAATTTTTAACGTATTTTATTAAAAGATGTAAAGAAATTACATATTTTCTTAACTATATTGAAAACAAAACACAATTATATTTGTATCTGTATTATTTCTGCTTAGTTAATAATTAAAATTAGGACACCAATCAATAGGTATAAAAAAAGCTCAAGATTTTTGTTTCTAGTACATTTTGCTTCCATTTTTCATATTTGCTCTATTTCTATAAACCTAACCACGCATGTCTTCAAAGTTCAAAGTTAATCACATGCGAAACATTTTCAACAAAAACAAAAGTTACTATTAAGTTTCACGGTCTTAATAAGCCATTTTCTACGCACTGACTTCCGATTTTCCATGTTTTTCTATTATAATTTGTATCTATTGTTTTAACAAGTTTCGTTCAAACTAAATCAGCTCGTAGTTTTTCGTCAATAATGCCCAATAATTTAAACTTTCGTAGGTTTGCGCTTACGGGTTTGAACACTAGATAATTTCTTTTTCGAATCCACATTAACTTCAAACGAGAAAAATTTAATAAGTACATTAAACAATAAGCAGAAAAATAATTTACTAATTTGCAGAGTAATGAATTGTTTCTACTGATATCACATTGCCAACTGAATATGCTTTTTGTGTCTACGTATCCATTAAGTTAGTTTTTTTTATTATAATCTATTAAGTATTCTAATTTTTATATTAAAAAAACGTGAATAATAAATTATAAATTCTATTTCCGAATCTTGTTTTGGCGCCCCCTAAGGCGTGCGCCCGCATTTTTTGCATGCATCGCATGCAAGGCAGGACCGGCCCTGTATATATATATATATATATATATATATATATATATATGTGTGTGTGTGTGTGTGTGCGCGCGTATATATAAAGACATATCAATACAATAAATTGTACCTATTCCCTAAAGCGTTTTTTAATAGCAAAATAAGTGCTCTTCAGCATCATAACAAATCTGGTGCTGCAATAATTAATTATCAAAGCAAGTTTATTTAAGTTTTAAAATATTTTATAAAAATTCTTGAAATGAGAATGAGGTTACTCAAGTCGTACCACCGCCTAAGTCTTCGGCTATATTTTCTCTGATAAATATAAAACATCATTTAATACTGTTAAATAAAACTATTTAGTTGAGTAAGCAAACGTTTACAATTCGAAGATTGATTTATTCAATTCTGCAAAAAAATTTTGAAAATATTTCGTAAGAAAACTAAAAAATATTGTATACATGATGTCAATATAAAGCAATTTTATATTAGTACCGAAGTTATGTAAAAAATCAATAAAAACAGTTTTAGATTTCTGTTAGAATTAATCTAAAACGTGAATTTTTCAAGAATATTATGAATTCTAAATTATTAGTACAAAACCAAGAAAAATATTATACATTTTGGTGAACTTTTTGCGCCGTAACTTTTAAATTGCTATACCTGCCTTTACCAAAAACCAGTAGTCAATAAACAAGACCAATCAGATTCATTTTAACATTTTAACGACAAAAGTTGGTATGGGATATTGAGATTTTATGTCGTTAATAGCAAAAAAAAGATCAATAATGTTTATAAAACTTTTAAATAATTCAATTGTTCTTAATGTTCATACTTTTGATTCATAATTAGTACTTTAAAAAGTTTTATTTCAATAACTTCAATGAACACTCTTAAGGAAATTTAAAAATGTCATAATGCTATGTTAATTGTGAAAAAATAATTTTGATACATATTTATTTATTTAGTATCACTTACCACTCGATACAGGCTTAGTCCCAGAATTCGTATAATACGCGGGATGTTCCCCAATATAACTGGCCTGTGAAAAGAAGTAAAATTACAAATTATGAAATATACTTATGTCATTCTTTTTTTAAAAAAAATTTATTGAATTGAAAAAATACTATTATTTGCACTCTGACTGTGATTACTACTAAGTTATTGTAATAGAATCACATATTTTAAATTATGTAATTTCAATGAATGAGCAACTATCATGCCATATAATAATCATGCAGTTGTCATTTAAATTTAATTACATTTATATGCTATTGTGAAAGAAAATATATTGTTTGACATTTTCTATTTTTCTTTATAAGGAAATTTACACATATATACATGTATACATAGACATTATCTGTGCAAATTGCTAGATCTTCAAGTGCCGAAAATTAAAATTTTCAAAATGGCTCTAAAATTTTCTAAACATTTTGAAAAAAATAAGTTTTTGAGAATTTAGATCTTTTTTAAATTTGACTTTTTTGAAAAAATCTGATTTTTTTACATTTTGAAATTTCTACGAAATATATATTGAGCTTTTTTTCAAAGCAATCGCGCTGCGTAGCTGTTTCAAAGACAAAATATATCGGATCGCGAACCCATAGAAATGTAAACAAATTTTGTACTTATCATTAAAATCTTTATAAAATATCTGATAATTTTATGTACATATGTCTAATAATAATTTCTAAACGCGAAATGACTTTTTTATTAGGACTGAAAAACCGCTGGAACTGCATTTCCAAAACTTTAATCATTTCGTCAACACAAATACAATGTTTTTTAAATCATTCAAGTCGGACTCTCCGTTATCTCAAAAATTGAATTACCATTTTTGGAACTTTTTGTCACCTTCGAAACGGCTGGACCTCACATCTCTCCATCAACACGAATCGAATCTTTTTTTAATTATACAAATCGGTTGATCAGTGTTCCCGAAATCGTCGTCAAAATTTGTATCCGAACACACCATACATTCATTTTTTTAAGGTCTGTCAAAATGTTCAGAAACGTTTGAAACGTAAAGATATATAGAGATATTAATTTTTGATTTTTTGCAATTGCTATAACTTACTCTACGGGAAGTTAACATAATATATTAATTATATACATTTTATGTAAGATCGAATAGTATAGGCTATAAAATAAAAATAATTGAAGTGATTTACAACGTCAGTGATTACAATCACAAAAATATCGGTTCTTAATTCGATAAATAAATTATTAATAAGAAATCAATAAAATTTGCACATTCATCTAATCGCAAATATATTTGAAACATTCTATCCCTAGAGCTTATTATCTATGTTCAATCAATTTCTCTTCAGATAGAGCACTTTGCCCCAGTGGTGACAAACGAGGCGTTGACAATGGCATTGTCAGCGGGCGCTCGCCCTTTATTGTCACTAGTTTGGTTTGTTTTGCGGACGTCCTTACACTCATTAGGTAATTGCCCCAACTTTTACTCAAATAATAATGACACCAGCAAATAAGTATTTGGAGCACCACATCACAATATGCACAATATGCTTTGATGATTCCATGCAAAATAATATTTATTAAAATATAAGTTCATTTTTATTTTATGATATAATCATCTTATGAAATTAGTACAATCAGGTACTATTTATATTTTCCACATATAATTGTAGACCTCTCATATTTAAGGGGGTTTTTCTTTTTTTTTGTTACAAAAAATGCAAGGTATTTGTTTTGTTTTTCTCGAAATGTATTGATCATAGAGACATGAAACAAAAATTACAAAATCATAGAATATTAAGAAATTTTAAAATTTTTTTTTTCGCCGTCATTTGTTAACCAGGGGGCGTCAAAGTGGGCATTGAAAAATCGATCTCTTTTGCGGTGCTACAGATAAATCCGTTGCGCATCGCTTGAAACAAAAAAAAAACGAAACTACGTTGAAGAAGAAGTTTGAATCCAGTCTCCCTACCAAAATAAAAGAGAACTAGTGGGGTGGGTGGTATCGTGCCTTAAGGCAAATTGCTGGAACTTTCCGTACCGTAACAAAATGTTCGAGGAATATTGAATGTTTTCAAATAGATCATTATAAATATTGTAACATTGTCTAATATTTATAAGAATTATATAAACTGAATTGCAGAGTTGAAATTATTTGTTTAAAGTATATTAGAACTATAGTCAGAATTAAAAATAAAATCTGAATTATTTTTGATATACAAAAAATTAAAAAAAAAAAAAAAAAAAAAAAATGGTACAATTTTTTTTTTCCAAAATCAATTATTTTGTTAAGACAAGCATAAAGTTCTTTGAATCAATTGAATCGGACGCTTAGTTCTCTCAAAAACTGCTATTTTTTGTACATTTAGCTCTGTATCTCCGAAATGGCTGGGCCTGCCTTTGCGAAAAACTAATAACCCCTTCTCCCAATCATTACTAATTGAATGTTTTTTAGATCATTCAAATCGGATGCTCCGTTCTCTCAAAAACTCGATTTCTATTTTCTGCACTCTTTGCTCCTTATCTCCGTAACTGCTGGACCTGTCTTTGCCAAAAACTAATCAGCTCTTCTCCTTATTAATAGGAATCGAATGTTTTTTAAACCATTCAAATCGGTTGATCCGTACGCCCGAAAACGTGGGCGAAAATTTGTATCCATACATACATACACACACACACACACACACATCCATTTTTTCTGAAATATGCCAAAACGTTCAGAAACCTTCAAAACGTCGAGAAATGTAAAAATTTTCAATTCCGATTTTCGGCCCATTACTATAACTTACCCTACGGGAAGTTAAAAAAGCAAGAAGGAAAAAAATGGCAGCTATTTAAAAAAAAGTGTTAAAAAGGGCCCTTTTTTGGGACGAGAAGCTTCGCAAATTTTTTTTGCGTAATGTTATCAAGTTGTTTGAGGTAGGGGGACTAGGTATTGCAGTGGTGAACAAATTAAAAAAAAAATGCAAGTCGGTCCGACTTGTAGTTTTTTTTTTAATTTGTGGCACCGCATTGAAAAAAGTCAATTTGAGAAAAACGTATTTAAAGTTTTTAATATAATGTACTAAATACACCATTTAATTTAATGTACTAAATACATCATGGTGTTCAAAGATGCTGACACATTAAAAAGGTCGTGTGCATGAGGTATTATAATAAAAAAGAGAGCAGCTGGCATAAAATAGCTCCGGAGCGATGAAAAAAACGGTTTAGGAGGATCATACATATAGAGATATATATATATATATCTATAATTTCGTCAAAAGATTAGATATTGAGATGATTTTTTTTTAAATAATTCTAAGGTTTTTAGTTTTCATAATATCAAAAAATCTCAAAATCGAAAAAAAATAAATAAGAAAAGAACAACCCCCTTAAGACAACAATATATATTTAGTATTTTGTATTGAAATACAAACTTAACGCAAAATTGAAACCCGTTTGACAACAATTAACTTGAGATATTAATAAACTGAGATATAATAATGGCCCATATTACATTTGCGTGATATATTAAAAATATAATAGAATTATGTCTTAAGCACATCGCTGTACGAATCAGAGACATGGACTCTAAGAAAGGCCGGCAAAAACGTCTGTACAGTTTTGAAATGTGGTGCTAATGGAGAAGATAAAGTGGATAGATAACTAATGAAAGATACTGAGAAGAGTGAGCGAAAATAAAACTATACTGAGCACGATCTGGAAAAGAAAAGGAAACTGGATCGGACCCATTTTCCTATAAGACGTTGTAAAAGGTAAAAGAGAAGATGAACTAAAAAAATTAGAAATAAAAATAACTGATTTTTGATGACTTACGTGAGAATAGAAAATCCAACAAACTTAACAAAAGTTTGGAAAGGAAAATGCATAAAAAAGTGAATAGCAATAACGAAATAGTAATGGGTATAATAAACAAAATAATGAAAAGAAATCATTGAGTCATTTCATTGGAACGAGCTAATCAGTTTGTTTATATTCGAGTGAACTAAAATCAAGAATTTTGTAAAACCTTTTTACGAAACTTTAGAAATAGGTTTTTTCGTTTTCACCAATTTTAAATTATCGATTTCTCAAATGATTTTCAACCCTTTGCATTCTAAGCCGTTGACATATATGATAAGTTTCCAACTTCTGTAGTATTTTGGACGTATATTAGCCATAAAACATGTTGTAACATAAAGAAAAGTGTAATGAATCAAAGTATTTATATTAAATTTATTAATAAATTTTACAACAAAAAAAAATTAACGTTTTGGATGTACGCATACCGTTCATATTTTATATGTTGAACAGGGTTCGACAACAGAGTCGTAATAAAAAAAATTAATATAATGAAAAAAATCATTTAAAAGAAATAAAACTGCTTTTAAAAAAAATGTCATAATTAGCAACTACTTATTTCCAATGCATTTCAATCAATTTAACCAATTGCATTGAAATTATATGTTCGATAAAACCCTATATTAACTGTTTTATTTTCTTTTATTTTTAAAATAATAGCGTAGTGCGAGGCACAAAGGTCTAATTTGACTTTGAGCAATTATATTGCAAAAACCAAACCAATTAGATCACAAAAAATAACACATATCAAACAAACAACTATCTGAATATGTTTAGTAAAACTCCAAGCTAATTCTTCTGATCCTTTTTAGATCTCGTAAACTAAAGCAACAGTGCTCACAACCAAAAAACTAACAACCAAAGAAAACACATTTGTTATGGATTTTTAAATAGTGCCCTTTATTTCCCGAAAGCAACGTCGTAAGAATTAAGGTGATGCCTGGATCTACATCTTTTTTCCTCTACTTTTAAATATTGTTGTTAAAGAATTTTTAACTTTACTTGTTTTTGAGATAACGGAGGTGGACCTTTTGATCAGCGGATCTTTAAGCCCCGCTTTGCCTTATATGAAATTCATTGTCTAAATTTAAATTACTTTGTTTAATAAGATAATATATTTGATATAATAAAATATATTCGAAGCTGACATGCTGTAGATGATTTACTATTTTAAATGATATTTGAAAGTTCACCTTAAATCGTGCAATCGTCGATATCTATCTATCTGAAACACCAAAGTTGTCAAAGAGCCCAACATAATTAAATGCTTGCAATAAATTTTGCATCGAGAGCAATCTGATTATGATGTAATATTAGTTAGTCGCTGGCTGATTTGATTTTCGCACCGAAATGCGACTGAATCGTTCGTTCGACGGCTGTTTCCTGCTTCCGGCGCGCGATTGCGTTATTTCCGGCGACCTGGCGTCTAGTCGCACCGGATATTTTGATGTGATTATAATTTTTCGCGGCAAATCGACTTGTACTTCATCATATGCAAAATATATTTTAAAGCTCGCATAAGAAATTGACGGATTTTATAATAATATTATATATATTATTATTAATATATATTAATATCTATTATTATTGATTACGGCTTGCTTATAAATAAAAATAAAAATTGTTATAATAGACCTTATTAACTTTCTTATGACCATATTATATATTGTGTGTACTTAAAATCTTAATCGCCATGATTAGCTAATAAGATATTTTTAATCCTTCACAATTATGTCAAATTTATAATTTATTATAAAATTAATAACGTTAAAATAAGTAAATTTAAGAAATGTAATAATCAATTCTGATAAAAGCTATAATCAATATTATGCACTTTATGAAAACAACTTTAGTCAATTGATTTCAACACTTGCTTAAATATAAACTAATATGTATTTTACATTATTACATACTTTCTTCGAACTCGCTTTATGCTACATCATATTGAGAATATAATTTATACGTTTGTACTAAATCAATCATACAAAAATAAATATTATAAAATAAATGTATTCTTTATTATTCAACTGCATTTGATCGTTGAAGATTACGAACTAAATTTATCTATAAAAATAAGTTCATAAAGTTTGCATGTATAATTATGCAAATTATATACATATTTTGCTACAATAAAGTATTATAGAAATTCTAACAATTAAGAGGAAACGGAAATAATTAGTAAGTAGAATTACTATGTGCCTAAAAATAAGTCAAAGTTTGTAAAATTGAGACGACCTTTATCCTTGTAAATAGTTGATTATTAAATGAATATTTAAAAACATTAACATAACGTAAATGACATTTGAACATGGTGTAAAAAACATTGAACATTATGAAAATACAAAAACGCTTATGAAGTTATTATTAAAGTTATTAAATGGCATTTTCAAAGCTTTTAAGTAATTATTAAAATTATAGATCCTACTTACAATTCTACTTATCTCTGGACAATTCAAATGTGAATCTGTCAAATTCATTTTGACGCAATTTATGTCCAAATTGATTGTTTCGCGTGTAACCTTTATAACCGCACTAAATCACCACAATTAAACTTATTAAAAAAGTATTCATATTATTATCGATGTTATCAACATGCGCACCTGAACCATTTAACCGTAACTGAAAATTCTGAAAGGGCCATGCAATGTTTTCCTCAATAAACATCTCTTGCGCAATCCCGCCCACGTCTTCGCATTTCAACCCTTTGCCCCGCCTACTAAGGCGGCATGAAAATTAATATGTAAAATGTTTTATTATAGCATTAAATAACAAAATATGTTTTCAGGACAAAATAAATTAAATTTATTAAATTTTATTTAAAATGTTTAAAATTCGGGAATAATTTCGACAAATTAAATTTAACGGAAAGCGACGCCCTCTAGTCGAAGCATTCGTCATCTGCACCATAGATCCGAACTTGACGGAACACTGAATGAAAATTTTGACATTGGAAATATGTCAAAGAGCAATGTTACAACTGTTATCAAATTCATATCTGCGTAAAAACAAATCATGATGATGTAATGATATTTAAAATTGAACTTTCCAAATTGTTAGTTATTTCAGATCGAAGCAATCAATATCTATGAGTACATGTTACAACTTTTCTAAATTTTGTGTTTCATTACGTAAAATATCACAAACTGAATGACATTATTTTCCAAGTATTTTTGCATAACGTCAATAATTTCGAAAGCTGATTAATGAAGTCGATCATTAGTAAAACGTACAACATATTCATGGTTTGAAAATGGCTTGTGGACATTAGTAAAATGGTGCAATGGGTAGAAAAATCCTTAGCAAAATCTTTGTAACGAGAATGGACCGACGTACCTCTAATATGACTTATATTATTGTATGTAAAATTAAATATATATAAAAGGAGTGTAGTATAAAGAGTGAAAATGTCGTGACAATTGTTTAGTTATAAATATATCTCTTTTGCTGTACATATTTGTAAAATATTTTAAATCCTAACCTAAGATTATTTATAATTTAATTAAGAAAATCTAAGAATATTTATATAAATGTTGACCACAATGAGTACCATAGTCGATACGCCGACACCACAATTCATAAAGACCATCGAGTGGGACATGATGGACAAAGCCAAGTTCTTTCCTTTGTCAATGTTGAGTTCGTTCTCTGTTCGATGTGCTCTGTACCCTCTGACTGTTATTAAAACTCAACTACAAGTCCAACATAAAAATGATGTATACAAGGGAATGATTGATGCTGGGACTAAGATCTACAAAAGCGAAGGCGCTTCAGGATTGTATCGAGGCTTTTGGATTTCCTCTGTAAGTTATATGAATATTACCTAGTTAGAACTTGTTAGCAATATATGCAATGTATATATTGCTTATAGTTATTCCTTACGACGAATGCTAAATTTGGTTTAAAATATTGGTTTTATTACTATATCTGCATATTGGATTCCATTCAAATATATGTATTTATGCAAGAATATCAATGTTGAAATTCAATACATACCCTATAATATAATAGTATATTATAAGTTTAATATTAGTCCAGCATGTAATGTTTTTTTTTGCTATATTTTTTGAAAAGAAAAATAGTCATGATTGTGAGACAAATGTAAACAGACATCAACAATACTAAATTTTTAAAATTTGTACTCGATATAATATACAATAAATAATAGTATTTTGTAGTAACAGGTTCTTATCAATAACCTGCCTTCATGACTCAACTTTTTTACAATGCATATCTAATTGTTAAAATAAATAATTACACAGGTTCAAATAGTATCAGGTGTCTTTTACATAAGTACTTATGAGGGTGTTCGTCATATATTATCTCAAAATGGAATCGAGGGTCGAGCCAAAGCTCTCATTGGAGGTGCATGCGCTTCTTTAGTTGGTCAAACGATAATTGTCCCTTTTGATGTCATATCTCAACATGCCATGGTTTTAGGAATGTCATCACATAGCGGAAAGGTATTGTTATTGATTAAATATTTCTTTCAATTTCAAATATATTCATATAAATATAATTTTAGGGCACTGTTAATCCACTTGGAATTACAGTGAAAGAAGGAAAAGGATCTCGTTTACAAATCACTTTAGATATTGGACGTCAGATATACCGAAGAGATGGTTTTGCAGGCTTTTATAGAGGATATGGGGCCTCGTTAATGGCTTATGTTCCAAACTCTGCTATGTGGTGGGCGTTCTATCATTTATATCAAGGTACTGATTTACAACTATATAAATGCATATCTTTTCTTTTCTTATTTGAGAAATGTTTCAGATGAGTTGTATAGAATATTGCCAGAATGGGTATCACATCTCTTTATTCAATCAGTGGCGGGCACACTTGGTGGCTTCACAACAACGATTATCACAAACCCATTAGATATTATAAGAGCAAGACTTCAGGTAAATAATAAAACTACTAGAGTGTACTGTATATAAAATATATACATATATAATTCAATTTTAATTGTAGGTGCAAAGGTTAGATTCCATGAAATTAGCATTCACAGAATTGTGGCAAGAAGAAAAATTAAAAATGTTTACGAAAGGATTATCTGCTCGCCTTGTTCAATCTGCCTGCTTTTCTTTTAGTATAATTCTCGGTTACGAAACTATTAAACGTTTAGCGGTAAATGAAAAATATAAAGATCATATTAAGTGGTAGGTCATGTATTTTGTGATTTTTCAATAATTAAAATGTTTTTTCATGATACCAAAACTTGACGATTTCATGTTTTTTGTAAGAGTAGATTTTTGTGATATTGATATGCATTTTATAATCTTGTGATTTCATATTATGTCAATATTTGCCACAACTTCTGGTCTTACACATCAAATGTGCAATCAAATATTAGCTATGTTAAATTCAAACTATTAATATATTTTATAATGAGAAAGAAACTAATAGCTTTCTCGCAATGGTTATTGTTAAAATATTACAGATTGATAATTTTTATCAATATATGTACCTTATATTTATAGTAGTATGTTTTAAAAACGTAGTTTGTTAGCGAGCTTTTGAAGCATTTAACTGTTTTATTATGAAACGCTTGTCAAAATATTTTGTATATACAAATACATTTGTTTATTCGTAATGATCAATTACTATATCAGATTTTAAAAGTAATACGCAAGAATTGCTTTATTTAATTTTTGAGACTTTTTTCTACATATATCACCTTTTCAATAAATTACCATTATTAAATAGTATTAAGTTTTGTTATCTAGTTTGATTTCATTTGGATATGTTCTTAACAACTGTAAACATGACTAAAGATCTGTAATATTGATTACACATGTATCCACTGTTAAATTATACAAATTTTATTTATAATTTTAAGTAGTTTATCATTATATATGACTAAATGCCATAGCATGTAAAAAAATAGTCTTTATTTCATATATGAGAATTTAAAATCTGATATACTTCCTAGTCGAAAAATAATTTTTCTAGTTAAACAATTACCAAAAATTCTATGTTCTTGTATAAGAAAATACTTTTTGGTGTTGCTTTGATGTAAGTGATTTCAAAGAATGCTTAATAGTATCTTGTAGTTTGATACATATTAAGCTAGCACTTTTCCGATAACCACCTTCATATTAAAGATATTGATATATATTTATATAGTTTGACCACTGAATGAAAAAGGAGTGAGAATAAAATATAAATAATCAATAATTGGTAGCTATATCGACTTGTTCAAATTACCAGTTTTGTATGAAAATACTAAATAGATAATTATATGTTATTATTGATAAATTATAATTATTTTGTTGACGTATGATTTTGTGCTTAGAGTGATGAAAGAAGTTTGCTCTGAATATTTTACAACTTTATTGTTTCATGCAGGCAATATGAATAAATTTACAATTTAATTTTTTTTGGTTTACAATATGTCTAATTTATAACAATTTTCACAAAATTTAAGTTATTAGTATGAAACTTTCACTTGTACTAAAATTTATTATTCAATAGAAATAAGAGGCACTACTTATGTGTTCACTAAAATTCTGTCTGTATCAATAAATCATTGATCTCAATCATGATTTGAAATGTTTATATGGATAGATATATTATTGTTATAAAAATACTTCTGAATGGGAGCAAATGGGATAACCACTGAATAAGAGAATAAAGAAATTTTATTGAAAGTTATGCAGATTACTCATTTATCTTGAAGTAATTCATATGACGGTTAAAGAAATATCTAATATATATATAAAACAATATATATATAAAATTTCGAAAGCATTTTGAAAACAATACATTACATATAATAATTACCCATATACTAAAGCAAAATCACGTGGCTAATCATATAAATAAGTGCAAGAAGTGCGCAAGAATGCATGAATATAGTAACACCTTTTCAGTAAGATCCTATAAATAGTATTTTCTGATTTGTGACACATGATTAAGACAATTGAGTCTAGTTAAAGTTGTCAGTCGCCTTTGTAGAAAATTATTTGAATTGGCAATATAATATCAATGTACAAACAAGTTGGTGAAATTGTTGTATATTTAAATCAATATATTAAACATGGCTAAAAATTTTGAAGTCGAATGTTTAATGTATGCAGCAAACATATTTGTTGTAAGGGTCCTAATGCCAAGCATAGTGGCTTAATTTAATATTTAACCATAAGTTAATCAGTTAAGTGCTCAGTTTAAACAAATATTTATTCATATGAGAAATTTCATAAAATAAATCATATACTTAATATGCACTTACCTAATTTTATAGATGTACTTCTCATTGAAAATGTTTATGACCACCTTTTTAACCATTTGTTGAAATCATTAATTTTTATCTGTGACATAAGTCATCCACATTCACAACATTTCTCTAACTGACTCTGATATACCATGATGAATTAGTTTGCTTCCACTTCACTTTTGTCTAGCCAATATTTCACTATCACCTAAACCATTTGATAATATTTTTCACAAAATAGTTTTTGACAAATCATAAAATTGCGGCATTAGAGGATGTAAGTAATTCCGACTATTTTTTGCTTACTTAACTTAAAAAATGTTACTTAAATAAAACAACTGTGCAAATCAATCTGAAAAGTTGAATCATAAAATTAGGTGTGCCACATGAACAAATTTTACGTTTTTGATTTTTTACCTTGAGTTACGTTTAATAACTTGTCAACAATTAGTTTATATATGTAATTTCGCATTTTATTATGTTAAATAGATCTCAACTTTTTATGGAAATTTCAAAAGTCAAATAATTATATATTTCCCATTGTCGTAAAAGTTCAAGTCCTTTTAAGTGAACCAAATGCGATTTGCAAACTACAGTTAACGACTACAGTTAGCCAATCATTAATTGTGTAGAAACTCAAAAACTTTTTTTTTATTCCGATATCGCATGAACTCTGATATACAATTAGGGCTATAAAGTTCACAAATAATTTTGTGGGACTCCTCAGATTTCTTTCTTTACGGAAACAAAAAAAAAAAGTGAAACCCATAAAATCCAAAATAATCGTTTTTGTTCTCCCTCTTAAAATGTACCTGAAACTCACAGCTAAATATAGTTAATCACAATTGTTTGTAACATGACAAATGATAAACAGATAAAACGAGCGCCAATAATACAGACATCGAGAGTTTTTTTTGTCACATACAGTCAATACAATACATTAATTTGCGTTAATTTTTATACAAAATATTATATCGTTTTTTTTTTTTTTTTTTTAACTAAAAACTACTAAACACATTAGATTTTACACAATGCCTTATGTAATAATTGCTTAACAGAACCCATACCACAATAAAATATACCATAATAAAATTTAGGAGTAAAATAAAACAAAAACGAATTAGTTTGATACCCACATTTTTATGTTACTTTTGCAAAAGGTATAACATGCTCTGGACCTTCAAACGATATTAACTTTGAATTTTGCACTAAAAATTTTAGCACTAAAGTAATGATAATTATTGTCAAAGAATTTATACATCAGCATCTTATCTGCAATAAGAATATTACTAGAGATGTTTAAAATAACATAATGAGTTACTATCATAGCAATAAAAACAAAGTAAACACTCTGAAAACACTGTAATTAAAAGAAATATCCAGTACTGATTACACATCACAAAATACTTCCGGGTATTGCAATATTAGTCCCCAATTTCAAGATCTTTCATGCTTTCACTAAAATTGGATATTCTTTTTATTATATTTTCGTAAACAATTTTTATTCTATTTTTAAATATCATAAAATAACATTATATATAACAAACAATGTATATTTAAGAGGTACAAAAATATATTAGAGAAATATGATGTTTTTTGGTGAAATGTAATTCCAAAAACCATAACCATAATTCCATTACTCCACCAAATATAACAATATAATGAAAACCTAATAAAATTAAAATGTGACAAATCTAATTTTTTGTACATAATTTTCTATAATATCATAATATAGACCCCTGTGCATTTCAATACAATATATAAATATTAAACATTTGACTATGGGCAATTATACTGCATAAATCGATGCTACATTGCAATTTGAGCTTTTATAAATATTAAGAAATAGTTATTCATATCGTCTTTTATGCATGAAAACTCACTATAGTTCAATGATTTCCTTCAGTATAATTGGTCCTTGATTAATTGCAATATTTTTAAAGCATTTTTCTGACCATATAGTTCAATATTCCACCATTTTTGTAGTATGTTAGATCAACTTCAGTATCAAATCTAGCAATTACTTCAAATGAACGACCATCATCAACCTGTAACAAAA